AAAGAAAGAAAGAAAGAAAGAAAGAAAGAAAGAAAGAAAGAAAGAAAGAAAGAAAGGAAGAAAGAAAGAAAGAAAGGAAGAAAGAAATGAAGGAATGAAGGAATGAAGGAAGAAAGGTCATATCCTATGAAAGACACATCTTGAAAATGCCTAAAGAAAGTTGTCATTTTTTCATGGTAAGGGACTGGAGTCCGTGTTGATGAAAACACCTTGGTGGCTGTGGTGACTGGCTGCAATATTGGGGTGATGGGCCTGGTGCCTTCCCCTGATCAGCCCGGTCGCCTCCCACAAAGGGAGGCCAGACTGTGGCTTAGGCCCGCTCCCCAAGGGGAGCAGGGAGCAGGGAGTAGGATATTTCCTGAGGGCTCCCAGTATGTGATAGGGGGCAAGCTGGGCTGAGGAACTCCCCCCTCCTCCAGTGCACAGATTTTTGTGCATCGGGCCTCTAGTAGAAAATAAATATATAAACAAAATAAAAATTACGTGTGATCCCCCCCCCCCAAAAAAATATGTACACACCTGTACTGCCTTGATAAAAATTAAAAGTATAGATAAAAAGGACTAATTCCCAGAATTCTTCATTTAAATGTGTCTATTTGTTATAAAAACTAACAGAGCTAATCACATGGGGGAACTTTTCATTAGTCCCCCCCCCCCCCATGACAAAATTTTCATTTCCTGAGGGCATCAAACTCATCCTGAGAAGGGGAAAGGTGTAGCTGTCTGAGGACTGCAAGATGGGCTCGGGTGGTAGGCAGTAACCTGCATGTCTATGGTCTTCCTACAGATGGCACTGTTAACACAGAAACCAGCTCCATAGTCCTGACAGCCGCCATACCCAGATTCTGCTCCTGGCAGGTTAGTATCATTCATCAGGTGAAGTGGACGTAAATGGGGAGAAATCGGGGAGAGCATTTGAGGAAGAGCCTTTTCCTTGGGTCTTGTCAGATCCTGAACTAGCTGCTTTCAGGAATGGAAGCTTTTTATCTCAGCTTTCTCTATATATAAACAAGTCTAGTTTTTTTAACTCTCATAATCTTGGAAAAGTTCTAAAAGGAAGGAACTAAGTTATGTGGGTCCCTATTAAATTTGGAGAAAGAAGAAATCAATACCCCCATTTTACAGATAAGGAGACTGAGGCTTAGAAATTGACCAACCTGTCCAGGGTCACACAAATAGTGAAGAGTGGTTTATGTGGCTCCCTGCTGTGGTTAGAATGTTTGCCACTGAATTTGTACAGCAGTGTCTCTCTATGTGTGAAAAGGTCCCATTTTCATCAGTGGGACTTGCTCTAAAATACTAGTGCCTTGGAATACAGAAAGTAGTGAGTCTGGTAATGACCTAAATGAGTACCCATTTTAGAAGCTCTTTATATCCTGTTACTATAATTCTGACATGGATGGAGAAGAGCAAGAGTTAATCTCAACATGAACATGTTTAAATGCAAACACTCAAAATATTTTAATATGTTCTCTTTCCTTCATCCCCAATAATAGTTGTTTTTCTCTGAAGTGAAGTGTAAGTGGAGACTAACATATCCTCTCCACATATCATAGGCTCATTTAGCTGAACCTCAGGTCCCAGTGAGAGAGCCCATCATGACCTTGGGCTCTGAGCTTTGATGACCAGCAGCCAACTCTGCCAGTGGTCAGGACCTGAGAGACTGGATTAGTGGAGGGACTGCCCACTCAGTCTCCTGGAAATATTCCAGCCCATGGGTGTGATGGGGGGTGAGGGACACCTAGCAGAGTTTTTTCCTTTGAAGTAGTACTTTAAAAATCTATATTCCTTTTGGGCACAGGTAGAAGATAATGAAGTAAAATTGTCTGAGAAAACCCAGCAAGCAGTGAAAGTAAGTAGTCTTATTCTTAATATTAACACCGTATCAAAATAAAATGTAAACAAATATATGAAGATAATTTAAAACGTCTCATTTTAAGACTAATCTAAAGGATCTGTACCTCTTTGTCTCAATTCCTGTTTGCATTCTTCCCAGCAGAGTTCTAGAAATAACCATTTTATGGGGTACACAATTAGAAGGATTCTTTCTGTCATTTAGACTTTGCAGTGTTTTTTTGTTTTGTTTTGTTTTTGTTTTAATCTTCCAGTACTATTAAAAGCAGATCTCAGATTGACATATAGAGCTGAAAGGTCAAACCTTTAGGCCAGGAAGAGCTGACTTTGATAGATACAAATCTATTTGAATATAAACAGGCATTGCAAACTTTGGTGCCTAGACTCAGAGAGGACCTTACATTCTTTTTATCAGCACAAGTAAAAGGATTCCAGTAACATGACAAAGAACTGGTCAAAGTCAAAGATGGTGGAATAAGTTGGGTATATCTGAAACTGACTCAGCAACTTTTGTAGACAAACTTGGGTAAGAGTTTTGATTCTATGAATCTTTATGCTATGACTCACCTGTTCTTTGTGCTTGTTTGTTTGTTTGTTTGTTTGTTTTTAAAGGGAGATGAGTGCTTCCTGGGAACTTTTCTAACAGGAGGAGAAGGAGCATATCTTTATTCCAGCAATGCACAGTCTTGGCCTGAGGAAGGTGAGCTATGTCTTAGTCTCTCTTTTGCAGGTATTGGCATGGATGTTGTGATCCATAATACATCTGATATTTGAAAAGACTTAATGGTGTAGAAGTGTTTTCTTACAGCTTTTCTCCTTTGACCCATCCATTTTTCAGATGAAGAAACTTGTGCTAGGAAGGGCTGAACCCAGAACTGTACCTGGTCCTCTTGTTGCTAGCTGAGAGTTGCTCTCAGAATGGGCTAGAGTAGCAACATGTTCAGAAATAGAATCTGTAGACCTAAACAAACTCTGGATGAGTTTTCTATGTGTAACAAATTACCACAAATTTAATAGCTTAAAACAGCACACTTTTATTATCTCACAGTTAGGTAGGTCAGAAGTCCAGGTGAACTTGACTAGATTCATGTTTGGGGTCTCATAAGGCCAAAGTCAAGGCATCAGCCAGACTAGGCTCTTATCTGGAGGTGCTGGGGAAGAACCTGCATCCAAGCTCATCCAGATTACTGGCAGAATCCAGTTTCTTTGGGTTGTAGGATTGAGGTCCCATTTTATTATTGGCAGTGAGCGAGGACCACTCTTAGTTCCTCCTCCCCATGCTCCTTGCCCTGTGATTTCTTCACCTCATCAACAGAGAACCTCCCTTGCATTGTTGAATTTCTCTCAAACTTTCATCTCTCTGAATTCCTCTTCTGTTACCAGTCAGAGAAAACTCTGCTTATTAAGGGCTCTTGTGATTAGAGGAGGCCCACTCAGATCATCTTTCTTTTACCCTTAAATTTCTTCCTTATCGCAGTCTTCTCTCTGGCTCTACACTTCATGCCTCTTCCACATGAAAAATACATTCACTCCTGCCTAAGGCCTCGTCCCATTTTGGTACAGTTCAAAGTCCTAAATCTCACCAACTCAAAAATCTAAAATCTCTTCATCAAGATTATCTAAATCAGGCAACAGTGTGTACAAACATCCAAGCCTTACTCAGCAACCCAGGCGCCTTATCCATGTGCGAACAGCTGAGCCTTACGCAGTAACCCCAGGTGCCATGTCTGCTTGAGACCAGCCAAACCTTATGCAGCCACCCCAAGCGCCCCATCCACGCACAAACAGCCAAGCCTTTCGCAGCAACCCCAGATGCCAGGACTGCGTTAGCTGCCGCCAAGCCCAATGCAGCAACCCCACGTGCTGCAACCAAGCCCTATACCGGGTGCCTCACACAGCAACCCCAGGCACCACGACCATGCATGAATTGCTGCCAAGCCCAATGCATCAACCCTGGGCCTGGTGACCATGCAACCCATTGCCAAGCCTGCCAGTGCAGTCACAGGCCCAGTGCAACTCAATACCTAGATCCTTCGGTGAGAGCAAATATGGGGAGACAAAGAAACAACCCCTAAAGGAAAGGAAAGGAGGAATCACCAGAAAAGGAACTAAATGAAACAGAGGTACACAATCTGTCAGAAAGAATTCAGAATAAGGGTCATACAGTTTATAAACCAGATGGATGAGAAAATCAACAACTTATGTAAGAATCATGAGGAAATAAAGAGTGATATACCATGTGTACCAGTTAATAAATGCAGATTTTGGCCCTAACCGGTTTGACTCAATGGATAGAGCGTTGGCCTGCGGACTCAAGGGTCCCAGGTTCCATTCCGGTCAAGGGCATGTACCTTGGTTGCGGGCACATCCCCAGTAGGGAGTGTGCAGGAGACAGCTAATCGATGTTTCTCTCTCATCAATGTTTCTAACTCTCTATCCCTCTCCCTTCCTCTCTGTAAAAAATCAATAAAATATATTTTAATAACGCAGATTTTGTAATCAAAGAAAACACAATAACACCGAAGTATTGTCCATCACTAGCTACACATTTCCCCCATCTTTCAGGTAATTCGTAATACCATCCCAATAGAAATTTTCTTGTTTTGAGACAAACCATTCAGAGACGCAATTTTCCACTTCTTCGTGTGTTTTGGAGTGCTGCTCAGATAATGCGTGTGCCATTGATTGGAACAAGTGGTAATCTGAAGGAGCAAGGTCTGGTGAATACAGCGGGTGGGTTAATACTTCCCAAGCAAGATCTTTTAACATGTCTTTTACTACTTTTGAAGTGTGTGATGGTGTGTCATCATGAAGCAAAATTACTTTGCCGTGTCTTCTGGCACATTCTGGTCATTTCACGATCAAAGTGTGGTTCAAAAAAAAAAATACAAAGTGTGGTTCAAATTGATTATTTGTTATCAGTAGCAATCAGTATTAACGGTTTCATCTGGTTTTAGAAGCTCATAATACACCACACCTTCCTGATCCCACCAAATGCAGAGCATTGTCCTCTTTCCGAAGAGCTTTGGCCTTGCAGTCGATGTTGATGGTTGACCTGGATCTGCCCATGATTTTGTGCATTTGGGATTCTCAACACCCATTTTCCTTCCTTTAAAATCTTTCCCATTGCTTGTAAATGATCAGAAATTGCTTGCTGAGCAACGTTTAATCTTTCTGCAAGTTGTTTTTGAGTTTGACACGCATCTTCATCCAATAATGCTTGTAATTGTTGGTCTTCATACTTTTTCGGTTGACTTGGATGTTCTTTGTCTTTCACATTGAAATCATCACTTTTTTGTGCGTGGATGGGGCGCTTGAGGTTGCTGCATCACTTTTAAAGCGTTAACACTAACATTCACAAGTATCTTGAGATGGAGCATGTTCACCATAAGCTTCCCAAAGTATTCAACAGCACTTTTCTTCAAAATAAAGTAATGAATTAAAACTTACCACAAATGCTCTTTTTTTGGCGCAAAATTGGACATTTTTAAGTGTAAAAATATCTATGATGTTAACACCTTCAGAAAATTTGACATAGGAAGTTTTGAAGCTTGTTGTCAGTACAACATAGCATACATATCAAATAGCATATACATCAACATACGTGTAATTCCACCTATTGAAAAAAATCCACATTATTAACCAATACACCTAGTAGATACAATAAGAAACACTATGGAGGGTTTCAACAGTATATTAGAAGAAGCAGAGGACTGAATTAATGAATTAGAAGACAGGGCAGCAAAATACATCCAATCTCAACTGCAATTGGAGAAAAAAATTAAAAGGCAGGAGGAGAGCCTAAGGGAACTTTGGGACAACATGAAACAAAGCAACATACATATGATAGGGGTGCCAAAACGACAAGAAGAACAAGGGTTAGAAAACCTACTTGAAGAAATGTCAGAAAACTTCCCTGATTTGAGGAAGAAGAAAGTCACACAAGCACAGAGTCCCAAACAGGATGAACCCAAAAAGACCTACACCAAGACACATCATAATTACAATGGCAAATGTTAATGACAAAGAGAATCTTAAAGGCTGCAAGAAAGAGAGAGTTGCCTACAAGGGATCTCCCATTAGTCTATCAAATGATTTATCAACAGAAACACATCAGGCTAGAAACGAATGGAAGAAAGTATAGAGAGTGATTCAGGGCAGGGGACTGAGTCTAAGAATACTCTATCCAGCCAGGCTATCATTCAAAATTGAAGGGGAAAAAGAATTTTTTAAAAAAAGAGTATCTAAATCAGGGACAGATGAGGCTCTGGAGTGTTATCCATTGAGTACCACTCCTGAACATAATTCCTCTCCATCTGTGGACTTGTGAAATTAGAGACAAATTACCTGCCCCAACACTCTAGATGGGATTGGCATATGATAACAGTTATAGCCATTCTGGTTCAGAAGGGGGGAATTTGAAGATAAAAAGGAGTCACCAGCCCAAGGCAGTTTTGAAATCCTGCTGGACAAACTCCAGTTCCTGGATTAGTTTTCAAGGCCTGGAAATAGTCCCCCAGGAATTTTAACTCTGCCCTCTGGGCCCTTGGTTCCACCCTCCTAAACTCTTAGTTTTGCCCACTGGGCTAGTGGCTACACCTCTGTCATCCTTCTCTCTCTCTCTCTCTCTCTCTCTCTCTCTCTCTCTCTCTCTCTCTCTTTGTCATCCTTCCTTTTTCATGAAGATAACACTTTGTAACTGAGTATTTTTATGAGTCTGGTTCTTACCAGTACAATTTTGGGGATCTAACTACCTAATTTCATACTGTCTCTACCTTTCTGGCAGTGTTTCTGCTTATATAAAATTCTCAAAAACCTTGTTGATCTTGCATGGATTTCATGGGGATTCATGCTCCTTTTTGGTTTCCTCAAAATAACATTTTTTAATGAGTTCTGCTCTTCCCCTGTTAGATACAGCCATTTTGGGGAGGAAGAGTTCTGACTTACTCTACAAATTTCTCAACCTCCACTAAGCAAATCCTCTTTCTGGGTAATTTGTTCTTGAAAATAATTCTGTCTGGTGGCAGGTTCCTCTCCCTGTCCTCAGATCAGTGGTTCCACTCCTGCTCCTCCATTAACATAGAAGACAAAGCACAGGGAGTTCTGGTGCTCCACAAAACGCTGGGGTGATAAGGAATAGCATGTGTTACTGTGCCTGTGCTGCAATCCCTGCATTTCTGCTCCATCCTGCAGCAGAAGACTCCAGTTTCCGGGACATTTGTTGAGGGCAGGGAGCGTGTGACAGTGCTGCCAGCCTTGGGCAAGATTGCAATGTCATAAAGGCAGGTTGTGGTCACAACACAGAGGTGTTTGTACTTTCTCATAGTTGAGCCAATGATAATATTTGGCAAGGGTATTTGCCAAATTAGTTTGTACCTTCTTAGCAAAGGGCCTTGTATAAAAATAATCTTACATTGTATTGAGTTATCCAGAAAGATTTGGTGTATCCTGAAATCTCTAGACAAGAATAAAGGGCACAGCCAGAGGTTTCTGGAGCCTTGTTAGGCACACTCTTTGAGAGCTTAGATTTTTTCATACTTTCTTAGTTCCTGAGGGAAATGTAGTTTAAATTCGGAGATAGTTTCATGAGGAGGAAAATTCAGTAGGAGCAGAGAATTTAAACAGGAGTCTCCTCTGGCTGTGTGTTAATGTTTCACCATTTTGGGATTCAGGTCAATGTTGTGAGGCTTGAAGTTTATA